TTAGCTATAAGGAATATCCATTAGAAAGCCTGAGTTCATTACATCCCCTTCATTTTGCAGGGGGGCTGGTTATGGCAACTCACAGGTTGGGAGCCCACACCTTCCAGACTCAATATTTGTATCATAACTGGCTCAAAAGCACATTTCCACCTGGCCTGAGTTTCCTCAGCAGCCGAGCCTAATGAGGGAAATAACAACTCCAGGTTCATTCTGCAAGGACACATGTGCTAAGTGTGATTTCTCACCACACAGCTCCCCTCCTGGGCTAATTAAATTACTTCAACTGTGAGTTTCTGTTGCCATGAAAGGGCCTCCTAGCTGTGGGCTTTGGGAAGTTGAAAAGAAGGGCATGGAGACTCTTGCTAAATAGAACTATGTAAGACCTCAGGGTAAGGTCAGAGGTCTGGAAATGTGTGTGCATGTGTGGATGAGAGAGGAGAAAGGCATAGAGAGACACATATACATAATAACAGCACTGATTATTAAGAAAACCATTTAAAGGCCCAATGTCCGATGTCTGTGTCCAAGTGGAAGAGTCACAGCTCCTGATCTTTAGTCCCAGCTTGGAGGCACCCAGGTGACGACACTGGGTAAGTCATTTTCCCTCTCTGAGGCAGCATCAGGTTGAAGGGTTCAGGGCCCTGTGGATCAGGGTTTGATGCTTAGCCTTGCCTGGTCTTGGACATCTTACTGAAACTCTGTGAAGCTCACAGGTTCAACGGAATTTAACAGTGAACTGTACCTCATGAAGTAGCCAATGCAGATGCAGTGTGCAACATGGCCCACAGTCACTGCACAATAAATACTAGCTCCCAGCATCTCTACCTGCCAAACACCAGTCCTGCCTTCCTCGCTGGCTGGTCTGAAGATGAATCAGGGAATTAGGTAAGTAAACAATTTGTGATAAAAATGGTATTTTACAGCTTATAAGGTGTTATTATTAAACTCTCATCATGATTATTACTTTGAATGTTATAATACTTAGTAGGAGATACAGGGTTCATAGAAGTGCTTCTCATAGTCTCTGTGGGTAATGAGTGAGTGGATTTGAAAGGTTATCTTGCATGAAAAAAGGAAAAAAAAAATAACCACACTCATACTTTGAAAAAGCTGAGCCTCCCAGAACTGAAACATAGCAGGTTCATTACTCAGTGAGGATTAATTAGCTGTCGGGTATTATTAAATATTCTCACTCTCAAAATCCACGTAGAACTGGAAACTATGAAAGTGAATGAGAGGTAATCACAGGACAGGGAAGGGGAAAAAAAGCCACAATTGCTGGCAATGCAAATTTCAAGAGCAGAGCGTGTTAGTAAATTATGGTCTGATTAACATCACATCAGCTTATTCTGTTTGGAGTCACTATTCTGCAACGATGGTTTTCAGGGTTGCCTGGTGTTTCTTCTTCTACCACTGGAATCAGAGAGAAAGAAGGCTGGCCTTTTCAGTGTTTGCACTGAAAGAACGCTGGAGTGTGGATGTTTACACTAAAATGAGGATGCTTAAAAGCCTAGGAAGGTAGGCGAGAATTTTACAATATGATAGCGAATGCATTTTGTGAGTTGGTATATTAACTGTTGAGATGATCGAAAAGTAACAGAGGCTCATAAAAAACTAGAGCCTGGAAGAGCCTTAGAGATGCTGAAAGTCCAGGGATAACAGACCCCTTTGTCTCAATCACCAGGGGCTCATGATAAAAATACTGATCCCTCTGGACCCCTCAGCTTGGTGCAGAGGATCACGGGGGCTGAGTCCTGGTAATCTGTATTTGTAACTGGCCCCCATGGCTGCAGGACCACTGCCATTGTGCAGTTCTCTGTTCAGTAGCTTAGAAACTAAGTGTGAAGAGAAGAAATGTGATTCTTTGGCCCAAGGTAGTTCACTGGCCCACAGATAAAGACACAAGAACCAGAACTGGGGTTTTCTAAGTCCCAGCCACCTGTCAGGGTCCCCTTCCATGTTTGCTATGTACAAGTCCACTTTATAACATCACTGCATCATTTGGGGGACAATCTCTGTGCTAGTGAAATTTACAGAGTCAGTCTCTCCTCTTCATCACGGGAATGGCATTCTCCTAGAGGCTAAACAGATGTATGAAATCTCACTGGATGCATGGACAACTGGAATTCACAGTGGAGCCTGGAGGTGGCACCTGAGAAATTCCATCCACAAAGCGAACAAGGGCAAGGTAACATCTGGGCAGAAGTTCACGTTATAAACTCCCCAGTGGCCCCCTGATCCATTTCTCCCATAGGACTGCAAAGTCCTAAGGGATGAAATAACTGTCTTACTCTTTCTGTATCACCAGCACTGTGCTTGCCACTTAGTAGACATCAGTCAATACCTTAAGCAGTGAAGACAATAGTATAAAAATTATATGAAAAGGAAAATAGGAATTTTCTCAAACATGTAGACGACCTACTATCACTAGGGGGTAATAAGAGCCATGAAAATGCTGCTGATGAGAGTAATACTAAACCATCAATACTGAATCTTCACAAAAATCCCAGGAAGTAGTGACCATCCCTCAACCCTGTTGTGCAGATATGATAAGGCAGGCACAAGGCACTTAAGTGATGTGGCCAAGGGCCCAGCCAGAGAGGAATGGAGACAGAATTCTATCCCAGGACAGACTGACTCAGTGTTCATACTCTTCACTACTATGCCTTCGGGTCTCCAAAACCTCTAGGTAGTTACAGCACTGACCCACTCTGATAAGGTGAATGTCCATGGCCATTCTCCATGTTGAAGGCACAGGCAGACAGGAAGAAACAGCCACCAATGTTTGTTGGCCCATAAGAAGTTCAACAGAAGAGCAGGTATCAATTACTACTGCATACACATGCAACAGCCCAGCTCTATAGCCAGCAGAGTCTGTGCTCAAAAAGCATCTGCTGAATAACAGATGAACAAGTGAACGAATGAATGAACAAACCAACAAGCCAGATAATCATGAAACTCACTGATTATTCAGTTCCTACATCTGTCCCCAAACGTAGGGATACAACCTCTTTTTCCCACAAGTACTTCCGTGTCTGGGCTTTCTAGGTGGCTCAGTGGTAAAGAATCTGCCTGCCAATGGAGGAGACGTGGCTTTGACCCTTGGGTCGCAAAGATCCCCTGGAGAAGGGAATGGCAACCCACTCCAGTATTCTTGCCCGAAAAATTCCATGGACAGAGGAGCCTGGTGGTCTACAGTCCATGGAGTTGCAAAAAGAGTTAGACACAAATCAGCTACTAAATAACAACAACAACTTCTGCATCTCTTTTCCTAGGTTTTGGTCTTTAGTACAGCTGCTGGCATCTGAAAGCACATATTTTACCCAATTCTGGAAGTTGCCTGGAGCCAGAGCTGGTCTCAAAACTGGCCTGCTTTACCATTCACATTGAGCACTCCAAAACTAAAGTCATCACTCAGTCCTAAATCATTTTACTCTTTATCTAGAGGGCCATCCTTTAAAAGTCAGCTTTTAGAAATCCGTTTCTAACACCATTTCCCTGCCAGACCTATTCTGGTCTCCCAGAACCAAACATAATTTCTTCCTCCTTTGATCAAACTGCAGCTCTGACTCTCATTGCATTTATCTCACTCTATATCACTGCAGATGGTGACTGCAGCCATGAAATTAAAAGACGCTTACTCCTTGGAAGGAAAGTTATGACCAACCTAGATAGCATATTAAAAAGCAGAGATATTACTTTGCCAACAAAGGTCTGTCTAGTCAAGGCTATGGTTTTTCCAGTGGTCATGTATGGATGTGAGAGTTGGACTGTGAAGAAAGCTGAGCACCGAAAAATTGATGCTTTTGAACTGTGGTGTTGGAGAAGATTCTTGGGAGTCCCTTGGACTGCAAGGAGATCCAACCAGTTCATCCTAAAGGAGATCAGTCCTAGGTGTTCATTGGAAGGACTGATGCTGAGGCTGAAACTCCAATACTTTGGTCACCTCATGCGAAGAGTTGACTCGCTGGAAAAGACCCTCATGCTGGGAGGGACTGGGGGCAGGAGGAGAAGGGGAAAACAGAGGATGAGATGGCTGGATGGCATCACCGACTCAATGGACATGAGTTTGGGCAGGCTCCGGGAGTTGGTGATGGACAGGGAGGCCTGCCGTGCTGCGACTCACGGGATCGCAAAGAGTCGGACAAGACTGAGTGACTGAACTGAACTGATGTAGTGTTATAAACCTTTACATGTTAGTCCTGCACATCCTCTTTTCTTACCAGACTGTGCACGTCTGAATGGCAGGGAGGAAGCTACTTAGACTAAGAGTAGAGATCATTTCTAGAGTACCAGCCACGGAGTAAGGGCCTTCCAATCCATACTGCATTTTAGCTTTAGAAGTCCACGGTACTAGGTTCATTGTTTTACAGACAGAGAAACTAAAAATAACTTGCATGACTGAAATTCAAAAAGAGAATGTGACAGAAAATGTTACTTAATACTCTGCAATAGACTATATGAGCAAAGAATCTAAAAAAAGAATGGATATATGTATAACAGATTCACTTTGCTGAACACTTGAAGCTAACACAACATTGTAAATCAATTATACTCCAATAAAAGTTAAACAAAAAATGAAAAAGGAACGTGACTATGTAAGTGGCAGAATTTGAACCCAGGCCTGTGCCTGTTTGATTTAAAAGTTTATGTTCTGCATCACAAGATTCCAACTTCCCATATGAGTTGTCCTATCCCTGTACCTTGAAGATGCTCAGGATGCTTTTGATGATGCAATCAGACTGAGGCTAGGAACACAGTAATGTATAGCAGTCCTGTGGGCAAGTCCTTGGTGACAAAAGGAAATGTGTGGACTTATAGTCATCACAGTTTGGTGCCTTCTTGCTCCTCCATCTGCCACCAGAGACTCAGGGAGCCTGGGTTTCTATCTGATCTCCCTCCCTCACAGCTGAGAGCTGTAACCCTCAATAGCAGCCAGCGTGTGGTCAAACTTCCCCTGACCCTGGTTGCCAGGGAAACTGAAAGACGGCTGTGCTCACCCGCAAGGTGGTGATGGTGGCAGGATCTCGCAGCCGGCCCTCCTCATCTTTCAGATTGTAGCCTTCTGGCCTCTTATCACGCTCGCTGACTTTCCACAGCTTCACAGTTTTATCTGTGGAGGAAACCACAATGACAGTGAGAGTAAGCTCGTAAAGAAGTTTATTTATTTATTTTCTTTTGCAGGATGGGGGTGGGGGTGGTGGGGCAGGGAAAAGAGGAGGTCAATGGACGGGACTGCTATGGAAGCTGGCTCATGCCAAGGACTAAGTGTGCACATTTCAAGGTCTTTGAGGGCAGAGTTCATGCTTCCAAACAAAATCATTTATTGTGCTGAGAGAAACGGCTATCCTGACAATGGACTGTTAAAGCTACAGCTTACACATTAATTGAGTTAATTCAATAAAAATATGCCCTGAACCTTGAATAAGAGTGGCCACAACATGTATAGAATTAATGATGCAACCATGTTCACACTTGCCATGGATAATTTATTCAATAATCCTGAGATGTAAGTCCAATGCTTGCATCCCCCCTCGCTAACACTGTCCCTGCTGCTGCTAAGTCGCTTCAGTCGTGTCTGACTCTGTGCAACCCCATAGACGGCAGCCCACCAGGCTCTGCCGTCCCTGGGATTCTCCACGCAAGAACACTAGAGTGGGTTGCCATCTCCTTCTCCAATGCATGAAAGTGAAAAGTGAAAGTGAAGTCACTCAGTCGTGTCCAACTCTTCGTGACCCCATGGACTGCAGCCTACCAGGTTCCTCCGTCCATGGGATTTTCCAGGCAAGAGCACTGGAGTGGGGTGCCATTGCCTTCTCCACACACTGTCCCTAGCCTGACCCAAAAGGCCCTCCATGACCGCATCCCTAGGTCCTCATGTTTTATGGTTTCACTGTTTACCCTACTCCCTGCCACCTCTCATGTTTCTGCCACCTGGCTTCCTTACAGCTCCTTGTATGGGCTAACCCTACTCCCGCCTTTTGCACTAGCTGTGCCTTCTGTCAGGAAAGCCCTTTACCCTCTTTTCACAAAATTTTTACATTCACTTTACTCTCTGTTTATGCCCCAACTTCAGCAGAGCCTTTCCTAATTAACCTACAGAAAGATGTTTCCCTCACCATTCTCCATCCCCTCTTCCTGCTTTATTTTTCTTTAGAGTACATTTTTCTACCTAGCAACTTAGTTATCCTGCCTTCCTTGCTAGAACATAAAATCATCGAAGGCAGGGATTCAGTCTGTCGTGTTCCTAACTACACCTTCAAGTACCTACAAAGGTTGTTATTCAGTTGCTCAGTTGTGTCTGACTCTACAACCCCATAGACTTCAGCACGCCAGGCTTCCCTGTCCTTCACTATCTCCCGGAGTTTGCTCAAACTCATGTCCATTGAGTTGGTAACACCATCCAACCATCTTGGATGTTCAGTAAATATGGGTAGATGAATGAATGCATCTCATTTATACAGTGCATCTTGCTGGCAGTACTCAGGGAAGTAACATGAGAAGGAGATTCATCTGAACGCTTTCCCCTTTCAGGCTCTCTTCTGAGTCCCCTGCTGGAAAAGACTTTTCTCACCTTTATACTGTCCCAGGACTTTATACCATTTTCCTGACCTCTGTCATTCTCTATAGCAAATAAAACAGAGGTGAGGACTCGAATGCTCATGGGAGGTAGTCAGTGCCAGGGGAATGAGTGAAAGGGCTGGGGTCTCAGGGGAGCTGGAGGTGGCATGCCCCATTTGCAGGTCTTCCATTCTATGTTTGTTTGTTTTTATCTTTTTTTTTTTTTAATTTTATTTATTTATTTATTTTTTATCACAACCATAGTGTATCTTTTTTTTTTTTTTTTTTTTTTACATGTATTCCCCATCCCGGTCCCCCCTCCCACCTCCCTCTCCACCCAATCCCTCTGGGTCTTCCCAGTGCACCAGGCCCGAGCACTTGTCTCGTGCGCCCAACCTGGGCTGGTGAACTGTTTCACCCTAGATAATATACGTGTTTCAATGCTGTTCTCTTGAAACATCCCACCCTCGCCTTCTCCCAGAGTCCACAAGTCTGTTCTATACATAGGAGTCTCTTTTTCTGTTTTGCACATAGGGTTATCGTTACCATCTTTCTAAATTCCATATATATGTGTTAGTATACTGTAATGGTCTTTATCTTTCAGGCTTACTTCGCTCTGTATAATGGGCTCCAGTTTCATCCATCTCATTAGAACTGATTCAAATGCATTCTTTTTAATGGCTGAGTAATATTCCATGGTGTATATGTACCACAGCTTCCTCATCCATTCGTCTGCTGATGGGCATCTAGGTTGCTTCCATGTCCTGGCTATTATAAACAGTGCTGCGATGAACATTGGGGTGCACGTGTCTCTTTCAGATCTGGTTTCCTCGGTGTGTATGCCCAGAAGTGGGATTGCTGGGTCATATGGCAGTTCTATTTCCAGCTTTTTAAGAAATCTCCACACTGTTTTCCATAGTGGCTGTACTAATTTGCATTCCCACCAACAGTGTAAGAGGGTTCCCTTTTCTCCACACCCTCTCCAGCATTTATTGCTTGTAGACTTTTGGATAGCAGCCATCCTGACTGGTGTGTAATGGTACCTCATTGTGGTTTTGATTTGCATTTCTCTGATAATGAGTGATGTTGAGCATCTTTTCATGTGTTTGTTAGCCATCTGTATGTCTTCCTTGGAGAAATGTCTGTTCAGTTCTTTGGCCCATTTTTTGATTGGGTCATTTATTTTTCTGGAGTTGAGCTGGAGGAGTTGCTTGTATATTTTTGAGATTAATGCTTTGTCTGTTGCTTCGTTTGCTATTATTTTCTCCCAATCTGAGGGCTGTCTTTTCACCTTGCTTATAGTTTCCTTTGTTGTGCAAAAGCTTTTAAGTTTCATTAGGTCCCATTTGTTAATTTTTGCTTTTATTTCTAAAATTCTGGGATGTGGGTCATAGAGGATCCTGCTGTGATTTATGTCGGAGAGTGTTTTGCCTATGTTCTCCTCTAGGAGTTTTATAGTTTCTGGTCTTACATTTAGATCTTTAATCCATGTTGAGTTTATTTTTGTGTATGGTGTTAGAAAGTGTTCTAGTTTCATTCTTTTACAGGTGGTTGACCAGTTTTCCCAGCACCACTTGTTAAAGAGGTTGTCTTTTTTCCATTGTATATCCTTGCCTCCTTTGTCAAAGATAAGGTGACCATAGGTTCGTGGATTTATCTCTGGGCTTTCTATTCTGTTCCATTGATCTATATTTCTGGCTTTGTGCCAGTACCATACTGTCTTGATGACTGTGGCTTTGTAGTATAGTCTGAAGTCAGGCAGATTGATTCCTCCAGTTCCATTCTTCTTTCTCAGGATTACTTTGGCTATTCGAGGTTTTTTGTATTTCCATACAAATTGTGAAATTATTCGTTCTAGTTCTGTGAAAAATACCGTTGGTAGCTTGATAGGGATTGCATTGAATCTGTAGATTGCTTTGGGTAGTATAGCCATTTTGACAATATTGATTCTTCCAATCCATGAACACGGTATATTTCTCCATCTGTTTGTGTCCTCTTTGATTTCTTTCATCAGTGTTTTATAGTTTTCTATGTATAGGTCTTTTGTTTCTTTAGGTAGATATACTCCTAAGTATTTTATTCTTTTTGTTGCAATGGTGAATGGTATTGTTTCTTTAATTTCTCTTTCTGTTTTCTCATTGTTAGTGTATAGGAATGCAAGAGATTTCTGTGTGTTAATTTTATATCCTGCAACTTTACTGTATTCGTTGATTATCTCTAGTAATTTTCTGGTAGAGTCTTTAGGATTTTCTATGTAGAGGATCATGTCATCTGCAAACAGCGAGAGTTTCACTTCTTCTTTTCCTATCTGGATTCCTTTTACTTCTTTTTCTGCTCTGATTGCTGTGGCCAAAACTTCCAAAACTATGTTGAATAGTAGTGGTGAGAGTGGGCACCCTTGTCTTGTTCCTGATTTCAGGGGAAATGCTTTCAGTTTTTCACCATTGAGGGTGATGCTTGCTGTGGGTTTGTCATATATAGCTTTTATTATGTTGAGGTATGTTCCCTCTATTCCTGCTTTCTGGAGAGTTTTAATCATAAATGGATGTTGAATTTTATCAAAGGCTTTTTCTGCATCTATTGAGATAATCATATGGTTTTTATCTTTCAATTTGTTAATGTGGTGTATTACATTGATTGATTTGCGGATATTAAAGAATCCTTGCATTCCTGGGATAAAGCCCACTTGGTCATGATGTATGATTTTTTTAATATGTTGTTGGATTCTGTTTGCTAGAATTTTGTTAAGGATTTTTGCATCTATGTTCATCAGTGATATTGGCCTGTAGTTTTCTTTTTTTGTGGCATCTTTGTCTGGTTTTGGAATTAGGGTGATGGTGGCCTCATAGAATGAGTTTGGAAGTTTACCTTCTTCTGCAATTTTCTGGAAGAGTTTGAGTAAGATAGGTGTTAGCTCTTCTCTAAATTTTTGGTAGAATTCAGCTGTGAAGCCATCTGGTCCTGGGCTTTTGTTTGCTGGAAGGTTTCTGATTACAGTTTCTCTATGTTTGTTTGTTTTTAAAGTACAGTTGACTTACAATGTTGTGTTAGTTTCAGGTGTACGGCACAGTGCTTTAGTCATATGTATCTATTCTTTTACAGATTCTCTTCCTTCATAGGTTATTACAAAATGTTGAGTATAGTTTCCTGTGCTGTACCGTAGGTCCTTGTTTGTTACCCATTTCATATATAGTAGTGTGCATATGTTCATCCATTTCTTAAGGAAACATATTTGGGTCGAATAGATCACGCCTGTGACTGCGTGCCTTTGTAGGCCTTCCTTCTCAGGTCCCGTGTTCACTACCTATTCTCACTCTTCTCCTGGACGGCGGCGGCTCCGCTGCCTCCTCGGAGTCTTGCTCTGTGCTTGCACAGGGTGGCTTTGAAAGCAGACAACCTTGGACCACATTCCCACTCCAACTCTAGCCACCATGTGGTCGGGGACTGGGATCCCCACGCGGTAGGTGCCTCACTGGTCTTGGGGTGACACCCCAATGAGAGTAGCAGATAGGGCAGGAAGAGGGGTACAGAACAGCCAGCTCAATTTAAATTGCAGACACAGGAGTCATTTTTTTAGTATAAGTATGTCCCTAATATTCCAATCTTACAGACAGAGATACTTGACTTCTCTATGCCTCAGTTTTTTTATTTGTAAATTGGGGAAAGCAAATGTCTTTCTCATGGGACTCTTTGCGGGTTAAATGGAAGACCGCATGTAGAGAGTTTAACCCAGGGTTGGGTTTCTAGTCATGGTTCACAGATGGTGGCGACTGTTGGCAAGAGGAAGCTGGGCAACTGTTCTGCAGTAATAAGATGCTGCTCTGACAGCATGAGTGGCACCCTGTGATGACATCAGCACATCCTATTTCCTCTCTGCAAGGCTGTCAGGGGAGGAAAGCCACCCCTCTACCCTGCCTGAGCGAGAATTCCCCAGTTTGTCTGCTCCTCACCCCCCTCCCCATCTCTCCTCTGTGAGTGCCCCGTCCTCAGCAGTCTGAAGAGCGCCAGCCACGTGGTGAGGTGGGCTTCCTGCCGTCATCTGGCTGTCCTAACAGAGAAGGGCCCCCGCTTCCTAACATGTGGGCATCGCACAGGCTGTGTCTGCTGGCACTCCTGTCAAGTCTGCTAAGGGTACGATCTGTGCTTTCAGCCCAGCTTGTACGAGAACAGAAGGCAAAGAAGCCTCTCCTAGATGCTGTGTTGAATTTAGAACTTTCTAGCAATGCTCTTCTGGTCCGAACACAGACTGCATGATGACCTTCTTTTTAAGGTGGGAAAATGAAACTTGGGTTATATTTATATAGTCACTTGATTAACTACTAATCAGAGATCAGAGTAGAATACTACTAGAGCTTAGAAGAACCCAAATCAGTGAATCTTAGTACCAATTATTTTCTATTGCTTGGCTTTGGAATGTATTCCATCCTAATGGCAAGACAATTCTCATATTTTTCTTATTATGAATGATAAATTACTATACCAAAAAAGAGAGAAATTAGAGGTAAAACATAAAGAATAAAAATTCTTAAAATCCCTCCAGTCCAGGACCACCATTATTAACAGTTTACAGTACAGTTAATAATACAGTTACAGTCTGCAGTATTTTTTCTATGCATTTTTTGAAGAGGGGTACAAACCTATAATAATATCACATACATAGATTTATATTTCTCATTTTATTGTAAAACTGGTACATATAATTGTAGAAAATGAAAATGAATATAAAAGTAAAAAAAAAAAAACTTTATCAATTCCACTAGATGAAGACAACTATTATGAAAATTTTGTGTATATCCTTATATTGGATGTGGAATTACATAACTGCTTTTAATAAATGTAACATACTATACATAGCTTATACTATGCCTTTCCCCCAATCATTTATCTATTTATATCAACATCTATCTCCACATAATGTATAACTGAGAGTTAGTTAAGGGTCTAGAAATGGGAGACATTAATAAACTATAGAAAAGTCATACAATGGAATACTATGCTGTCATTGAAAATGTTACAGTATTTTAGGAGAAATATTTCACAATTACAAAGATATTCCTGTTACTATTATATTATTAAATTAAAAATCTGGTTGTAAAGTTATAGAATATGTCTCATTTTTGGTAAGAAACAGATTTATCTAAGTCACTTTTCTATTCCTTTTAAAAAACCATTAATAGTGGTTCTCTCTGGATAGGAATACTTTCCTTATCTTCACTCTGCTTCTCTGAATTTTATAAATTTTTTACAATGAACAGTTACTACTTTCATAGCATGAAAAACAAATTAAGTATACCTTTTCACCTGATCATAGGTATTACGATAGAAGTAGACATCTAAGTAAAGTAATGTGTCTTCAGCTGGTGAATAATTTTAAGGTCTAGCTTCACAACTGAATGTTGGTTTTATTTTTCATTAAAAACTGTAAAGCTGGGACTGTATTCTAGCAGAAGATTAAAAACTGTACCCAGCTATAATGAGATAAGCGCAATTTTTTAAAAAAAGATAATTGATGGTGAATTCAATTCGATTCCCCATGGTTAGGATGCCTGGAGTCATTCTTGACTTTATTATCACAATTTTTCTTGACTCAGTATCTTGAAGCTTTGTGGATAAAAAGTCTGAGAAACATGTGGCTGATACCATGAGTAATGACTTTTTCTTCCTTTTGGCTGGCTCTCTGAGTAGTTTATCATTACTTGTGGCATCTTTAAACACAATCTTATCATCTATCTTCATTGTCTCTTTTGTACAGTAATTCCGATTGTCTTCCATTAATTTTTGCATGTTAACCTATTTGCCTTAAGGGGAATTCTCAACCTTAATATTAGTATAAAAAAGAAAATCACATATGAGCATGGGGATTTGTCTTCTAAGAATCATTTTGAGATGCTGGTGGCATATGAAATAGCATCCCAAATGGGAAGATAATATCCTTGTTAATCAAAAAACTATTTAAAAACTCAATTAACAGAACATTATGCTATATAATTAATCTTCATTGCATTTCACTGGTTTCTTCCCCATCCCCCCACAAAGTAGTTAATATGTCTTTGACTTTTATTATAATAATCAATAGGCTAAATTTCATAATACAAAGCTAGCCTAGAGAAGATAATCAGATACTTTTTCTCTGCCTGAAGTAATTAAGTCAAAATCATCAGAAGTTTCTTCCATTCTAAGTTGTGTTGAGTCTGTTGAGCCTTTGAGTAAAACTTAAAACTAAGAGAGAAGAACTTGAAACAAATTCACTTTTGGAATATCAAGATCAAAAGATCTCCTGGAGAAGGGAATGACAACCCACTCCAGTATTTCTGCCTGGAGAATCCCATGGACAGAGGAGCCTGGCGGGCTACAGTCCATGGGGTCCCAAAGAGTCAGACACAACTGAACAACTAACACAAAAATGTAAACAAAACAATAAATACAATTATGAGAAAGAATTAAATTACTTGGAATCTGGAGAAACAGATGAGTGGAAATCTGGTCATGTTGAGATAAACTATGCTTGAATAACGCTATGCTGGCTACTGCAGAACCATTACTTTATAGATTTATACACTGGCTTTTACATTTGAGGGATTTGGGGGGTTCATATACATTAAAAACTTTTCCTCTTTTATCATGATATTAAAATAAAAATTGTAAGAACTTAGAAAATGAAAACAATAAAAGTAACAAATTGACAAGTCACTCATAATGCATAAGATTACTTACAATAAATCTTTCAGTGCGCTTCATTTCAGTCTTCAAAAATGCTAATATAGGTTTGATCATTGTATATATACAGTCTGCATTTTGTTTTATCTTGACATATGAGCATTACCCTTTCTTAATAAATGCTGGAGATAGGCAAAAAGCAAACCCAATGTTTATTGATTTATACTTAAATGTACACTCCTCAAAGACTCACACAGAGGATGATGAAATAAGTCTCTTTCCAGCTTATTTGTTTGGCAGAGGGTGTTTAATTTGTGTGTACTAAGCCTCTTAATTGTTATGCTATTCAATTAGCACCCTTTTGTATTTGACTTTATCCTGAATTGTTTTGAGCACAGATGGCTTCTTTCAAGTAGAGTATTAAAAACCTTTAGAGTTGGTAATTCCACTGTATAGAGGCTTAAAGATTAGTATAGAATCAAGTTCTCTATGCAACCCCTAACATCCTCTCTCTCTGATCCATCTATATCAATTCCCCCCCAAACCAATAAATGATGTAAGAAAAGTATGGAGGGAGAAAGAGAAGAAACCATACTTGATCCATTTTTTTGATGGTGTCCCTGGGTTGGGAAGATTCCTTGGAGAAGGGAATGGCTACCAACCCCAATATTCTTGCCTGGAGAATTCCATGGACAAAGGAATCTGGCAGACTATAGTCCACGGAGTCTCAAAGAGTTGAACACAACTGAGTGACTTTTACTTTCTCTACTTTCCTTCCTGTCTTCTTGACCTATGTTCCTAGTAGGGAGCTTGCTTGTGTCAAAGACATCTGCTTTCCAAACCCCCAAATATATTCAGCGATTAATAACTTCTATTGAGTGGGCCAAATATATAGGGACGGCATGTTTCGTTTCCTGAAATGTGTTCCCAGAATAACATTCAGTGAATCTTAAGACAGGAAGTCACATTCCAAAAACACCTGGAAATAATCTGCATTTGTCAAAAACTACAGATAACAAGTCTCACAGAATTCAGTCATAAATTTGTTATTTTTTTAAAAAGAGTAAGTACAATTTACTGTTTCTATTCTCAGTCAGGCATTCTGCTAGGCATCTTGCAAGTATGGTTTCTAAGTTTTTCAACAGCCTGCAAGGTAAAAAGGAAAATGGTGGCTAAGAGAGATTAAAATACATGGTTTGCTGACTATATCTCTGAAAACACCAAACGAGGTAAGTCACCTTCACCTACCATTAGTAGACAGAAGGAAGTAGGCTGCATTCTGCTGAGGGAGCCATCTTATTTTATTGATTTTTTCTTCTATTTCTAAACTTTTCAGGTAATCGAACTCGGGTTCATGGCTCTGGAATGTGCTGTAAACATTGTATTCACCCCTACGATGAACCTGATTTTTACTCTGTAGGAAGGGAAAAAAACACATACACCAAAGATTAAATCATATAAGCCAACTGAAAATTCACCAGTTCCTTCTTTTTTTGAGCAGGATCATGAGAGGTGGGATAGGCAGACTGCGTCCGAGTGGGCTGAGGGCAGGACTATGCTGACCACAGGTTCCTCTTCAGCTCCGTGGCCTCATGTCATTTGATTGTGCACCCCTGGTGGTAAACACTGGCACCTCCAATATTTACATATTTTTATTTATAAATTATATACATAAACTGCTGCATGGGCATAGGGTGTACATCATAAAATATATGTAGAAATAGAAGTTGAAGTAGGACACGAGTTTTTTTTTTAGGTGACTGTGCCACATGGCATGCAGAACTTCCTAGGCCGGGAATCTATCTCACACCCCCTGCAATGGAAGCATGGAGTCTTAACCAGTGGACCACCAGGCAAGTCCCAACAACAAGAAGCCAGACAGCAATAATGATAGGCAGTGTTTATGGAGCTTCACTATGTGCCAGTAATTGCATTTAATCATCACAATAAATCCAGGAGGTCGGTAAAAAAATAAATAAATAAATAAAATAAAATCAATAGATGTTCTAATATTTTCTGTGTCCTAATGGATGTCTTGGACACCCTTAGAAATGAGTCATCCAATGCTGATGTCCATATAGATGCATATCAATCCTTTACGAAGAACACAGAACTGTAGCATCTGCATACCTCACTGGCCTTTTATAACTCATCAGATCTTCACAGAATCTCTGAGAGGTTCCCAGGGCAGGGAAATGGACCAAACAGGCTCAGAGATATTAAAATGACACACAGCTTATTAGGATCAGATCTCTCCCTCTCCTTTTCCCATCATGAGTAACAAAACAGACATGAGGGCAGAGAAGACATGCAGATCATTGGGAGAACCATGAAACTTTACACTGGCTTTCCCTTAGCATCGATTATGCAAAGTGCACACAGCAGGAACTGAATAAATAATGAGAGAACAGAACATGAAGAGAGAGTGTGGAGAAAGGGACAAGAGAAAGAAGAAAGATGGACAGGAGGAAAAGAGGGTGTGAGAGAGAAAGGGAAGAAGGGAAAGATGGAGGGGAGGTTTGCATTTTAGAATCTTGTGACCAAGAGTCTCAAGATTCAGGCTTGGGAAAACTATGTGCACAAATTCAAATCCAGGTCTTATTAGGCATTTGTCATAGATGCATGACTCTTAATTAAAGCTTTAAATTAAAAAAACAAACAAACTATTTCTGGGTGGATACTGGACATTCAAACCCAAGCCTCAATTTACTGATAGGTAATGGTACTGATGTTAAATGTACTCGTGAGGGCATTGAGGTTCTTTGAGCAAATTCTCCAGGATGGTGTCACTTGAGCATTCATACACAGGAGTCACCCACAGGAGCTGAGAGGAGATCTGACTTAGATGTTGCCACATGTCTGTGTTTCTTAAGGTCAGCGTTCATTCAACCCCAAGCCTTGCCACAAAACTCAACGGTGAACTGCATGTTATTATTCTCAACATTTTTTTCCTTATTGAACAAAACCACTCACCTTTGGAAAATGTGTCCCCCTGCATTCTACTAATGAATCAGGCTTCCCAAATATTTCAGTAAATTAAAATAGGTGAAACCTATAAATAGCTAATGGGAAACACGGAACGGAATATTACTGGCAACATGCTGCCTTGGGTAATTTATGCTAAACAGCTCCTCTGGTTTCTCTTTATCATTATTAGGAACCTAATTGGATTAAAAAAAATTGAAGAAGAAGGTTTAAAAATCAATTTTAAAAGGACTTTAGAGGCTGACATACTTGCTCCTGTCCTGTTTACTGAAGAAAGAGCTAGTCCACCTGAACAATAAATTTTTAAGAGCCTTGATTTGCTACCATCCAAATCAGACTGTCAAGTGTGTGGAGTATGTGCCAGACCAATTAGCAGTAGGCAGCTCCGGAAAAGCAGGAAAAATTCCAGGTCACGAAGAGCTATTAGTTTCTACTTGCCAACCACATTTTCGTGTTTCCAGGGCCAATGGAATAGGCTGGGTGCCTGAATTAATGCTGAACACTTGAATTCATACAGAACCGCGAGGGATTACCATGCCCTTATAGAAATTAATTGCAAATAATGTGCAATTACCAAATATATCACCTCTAAATGAGACTTCCCTTTTTGGAGGGGAGATGGAACACAAATGGCTTTGAGGCACAAAGCAGGCTTTAAATTGCTAGGGAAGTCTCTTGTGAAGCCTCCCTCCCACATGGGGGGCCTCCCGCCACGCCACACTGGGTGACTCTCCGAGGCAGGCAGTAGCAGATGGGAGAGTCACTTGAACACAGACTGGCCTGCTGTAAGCTTCAGGACCCTGCCAGGGGAGGCCAAGGAAATCAAATTGGGCCATAATTCTGTTCTGACGGAGCAGAAGCAGACACCCCAAAAAAACTCAATTTATATGAAAAAGAGAAGCTATTCCTAGTGGAACCCAAGTCTCAGGAAGAAATGGGCTTTTTTGAGATTCACTGGGAGTTAATGACTCCTGCTTGGAAGGCATAGAGGGTTCAGCTGCAGGGAACTTCATGTCATCCATAGTAAAGTGTGGCCTTCCCCCAGGCAGTACAGAACCCGCCCGCCAAGGCAGGAGACGTAAGAGATGTGGGTTTGATCCCTGGGTCAGGAAGATCTCCTGGAGGAGGGCATGGCAACCCATTCCAGTATTCTTGCCTGGAGAATCCCATGGACAGAGAAGCATGGTAGACTACAGTCCATGGGGTCACAAAGAGTTGGACACGACTGAAGTGACTTAGCAAGCACGTGCATAGTAAAGTGTGAACCATGTTCTTTGCTCAGATGTCATTTTCCGGGATTTCACTTGCTTTGGTAGAGGGAGCTACATTTTCTTTTCTGAGCCAAGTTATCCTTTTCACATCTGTTGGGGAAAGGCTGTATCTTTTATCCCAGGTATTCTGTTAGGAGTCCCTGAATTTCTAAATTCAAGAGAGTTAACCCCACTGAGAAAGGAGGTGTTACACTCTACAAGCATCTGTGGCATTTTGCAGATCCAGAGAAATGAGGTCGTTTTGAATGTGCAGTACCCAGGATTGGAAAGGAAGACTTTGTCCAGAAAAGGCTCTAATTCCAGGTGCTTTTGTGAGCCTGTGCAACTGTTGATGTTAATGACTTTTTGGCAGTTTTTAGTTTGCAAGCCAAGCAGCAAGGTTAAGGGCGACACATGAGGATTAAGAAACTGTGGGAGGCCTCCTTTAAAAAGAAGAGAAAATGGGCATTTTGCATTCACTGCCACTTACCTCCTGCTCTCGTTGAAATATTACAACCCGACCCCCCTTGTCCCCTGTCGCTAGTAATTCTCCCGTGTGGTTGAATTCTACCGTAGAGATAATGTCAGCTGAAAAGAAGAAGACAAAGGCAATTTAAGTAACTGCACACTTACTTTCAAACGATAGATAATAGACGTACTTTTCTGCGCATTTAAGGGCTTAGGGCTTTGTCTCTGCAGTGGAATTTACAAGGATTTTATGTCCTGTATTTGAAGTGCCACTTCTAGTGGCACTTGGGGAAGTAAATGTCCTAGATGCCCACACAGAACTGTGGTCTCCAGGAACAACTGGAGAGAACAAAAGGAAAAAGCACATGCAGATTCTTTTGTTTTGGGCAATAGAAAACGAGTTTTCTTATGGCTCTGGGAGATGGCAATTTTCTTTGATAATTTCTACCAAACACAGACTCTTTTCCCACCCATGGCCTTCTGCATCCCCCTTTCTTCTACACCAAGAAACTTCCCCAAATGGGGTTCAGTTGTGGAATCTAAATGAGGACTGAAGGCTGATGAGCAGGACTGAGATGCTTGAAGCTCAGACATGGAAAATGAAGGGACACAACTCAGAGGAACCATCAGGGAAACTCCAGGAGTTGGAAATTCAAGGAGGAACCCTGGAAATGCTCCCCCTTTTCTGGTGAGCCCATCACACCCTTCTGGAAGAGCAGAGCTTTATTGCAACTCAAGGAGAAAGGTGCTGAGAAAATAGGGTCACGAGGTCAGAGGGGAGAGGGAAATTTGTACTGTGTATCTCTAAACAGAGAAAATACACAGGCGCCAGGAACTCAGATCACAGATAATTGCTGAAGGAATGCCAGCCTGCCAAGCCTTTCTTCAATACTGGTTATCCCTGGAGGAACACGGACAGGTAAATTACCTATGATTGGATTTATTAGGGCTATTTTTAGAAAAATGTCAGAGGTTAATTCCTCTGCAATTATTCCCCCACAGGGCTCCAACAATCACTACCGAGAGTGCAAATGAGTTAAAAAAAAAATAAAAAATGAGGCGGGGGAATTATGACTGTGGCCTTTGACAGAGGTACATTCTGAAGATTGTGCCCATGTAAGGAAAGTGAAGGGGAAACAGTGAGCTGGAAAACTAAGGCAATTACCCCTGAATAATTCAAATCTCAAATCTTACTTTAATATCATCATTTCAGGATTTTCTTTATATGCCCGATTGATTCAGGTAAGTAGTGTGAAATTCTCCACTTTGCTTCTAACTGTCCTTTTCCATACATGAAAATGTTTTAAATGGTCATTCTTTGTGCAGAAGAAAAAAGAATAAGGCATAACCTATAATCACTTTCAAGCCAGGGGCATTTAAAAGAATCATTCATGATTTCTGTTCTGGTGTCTTAGATGACTGACCCCAGTGGTAACAGGTTCAAATCCTACAGGGCCACGAGGGAATGGGGAGTGAAGGAAATCAGGTGAGGTAGGAAGCTGGAGTCTCCTCTTAAAAGACAAGTGGCTACTCGGCTCAAGCCAACTGGGACTATGAAATATTACCTGTGTTGCCAGATATTCTGATTTTTTAAAAAAGGTTTTTATTTTATATTGGAGTATAGTTGTTTAACAATGTTGTGAGAGTTTCAGGTGCCCAGCAAAGGCAGCCAGTCACACATATACACGGATCCATTCTCCCCCAAACTCCCTTGGCATCCAGGCTGCCACACAGCACTGGGCAGAGTCCCTTGTTCTACACAGTAGGTCTTTATTGGTTATCCATTTAAAATAGAGCGGTGTGTACATGTCCATGCCAAACTCCCTAACATCCCTTCCCCTCATTTTCTTCTCTTGGTAACCATAAGTTTGCTCTCTAAGTCAGTTAATCTGTTTCTGCTTTGTAAATAAGTTCATTTACATCATTTCTTTTTAGATTCCACGAATAAGGGATGTCATATTTTTTTAAAAGAAGCTGGAAACTCAGAGCTTTACATGAAAACCTCTTCAGTTTTATAGATTGGCAACCAATGTTTTTTTTCTGAGTGCAATGACATTAAAAAAAATATAATCCTGTCTATCGGACTAAAACGGTTTGTGGGTCACCCGCTTCTGACTTCTAGTCTCTAGAGTGCTCCTTCCAGAAAAAGCCACTCCATTCCTTAGGGACAATTTCAACTGGACATCCCATCCATTCACTCGAGAAGAGCCCTCCAAATGAACACTACCTTAAGGAAACACAGACTAAGCTGCATGGCTACTCAGTCCCTGATGTAAGGTTAGAAGACCTGTTTTTAGAACAAGAGCCCGGGGGGAGCAGGTGAGCCCAGCAAGGTTGGGAAGCCAGTCACCTCGAGTGAATGATCGACCACTTTCCTTTGTTAGAGTTTGCGTGTCTTAGCAAAGCACTCTCACGTACAGAGGGGACAAGAAGCCTGTTTAATGTTTCCAGTTGCCTCAGAATGCCCCGGTTGAAAAACACTCGAGTGCTAGGAGACACTTCTCACATTAGTTGCTGCTTTGGCTTTTCAGTGAGTGGCTAGCAATGAGGTTATTCACCCAGCTTCCTGGCTTTGGGGAGAAGCTAAGGCAGACATGGCTGTTTCTTTTCACTTCCAGGCTTCTGTCAAGCACTAAAAAATGAGCCAGACACCTCCTGGAGGGAAAGAGGAGCAGGGAGCAATGAGAGGGTGATGGGGAGCCCAGGCTTGGGAGTTAACAGTGCTGTGCTCATGTCTTTAAGGCTAAGATTTTGCTTGTGTGTATGTGTGTGTGTGCTAAGTCACCTCAGTTGTGTCTGACTCTTTTCAACCCCATGGACTGTAGCCCACCAGGCTCCTCTGTCCATGGGATTCTCTACGCAATACTGGAGTGGGTTGCCATATTCCTTCTCCAGGGGGGTTTCCCAAACCAGGAATCGAACCCATGTCTCCTGCATTGCAGGTGGATTCTTTACCCACTGAACCACCAGGGCCCCAGGATTCTGCGTAAGGGCATCTGAAGCCCTTCCTCTCAGCAGCAACATGAACACAGACGTTGGAGCTCTACATGGGTTCTGGGGCCACTGTATTGAACTGAGATGAGTCTTCCCTTTTGGTGACGCTGAGTATTGGAAGGGAGGGGTAAGTAGCTTTTTCCAAGGTTGGTCTCTGGCTCAGTTTCTAAGCAAATGTCACTCCAAGGGAAACAAAACTCAGTCTCCCAAGGATGACATGCATCTTGTCTTTTTGTCTGGACCCTGTGAAAACATCTTTACTCTCTAAGATGCACATGGGTCAAATTGCATTAAAATGCAGGTGGGATTCAAACTCAAGTCTAAACCACGTGATCCAAGGCAATGTTATTAGAACTGTGCACTATGGGCAATCAGGCTTGTCCCCTGATATATAAAGGAGGTAAATAAATGCCTCCTTTGTTTTCCAAGTGTTATCATTGTGCTATGTCTCCCTCGAGAAACTTGTCAGAGAAAGACTGACTGGCATGGCAGGATGCTGAAATCCCTTAGTCTTTTGCCAAGTCCTGACCTTGCTCTTAATGCTGCCAGGGAGCTGATCTGTATACTAGGCTGTTTATACCTGGGTATTGTCTGCTTCCCTTCAGAACATGTGCCATGGCAACTCAAGTTAATACCTGTTTTGAACTTTCGTGTTTCCTGACTCATTTATCATGGCTAAGCCAATAGGTGTAACCAGAGTATTTTACTGCCCTATCCATCTTTTGCATATCTTCATCTATGACTGTTTAATAATTGAGGCAAAACTCATGAATCACCCCACATTCCAATTTCAAGATAGGGGGACTTTGGATACAAAGCTCTTGTACTTGCAACATGCTCTTGGTAGAGCAGTGTAAATTATAAAACATACACTGCTCAAGACAACATGACTTTGGTTGAGTACAGAAAGAGGATATGGCAATAACAATAAACCAGCAAACTCAGAGACAATAACGTCTTGTGAAATCTTGGTCAACAGAAGTCAATTCATCAAGTTCAAATAAAGTTCAATTCATTAAGTTCGATTAGAGAACGTTTTGCCTTTGAGTGGTAAGTATTCACTACAACTCATTTTCTTAAGGGCGCAGCCGAGTCACGTTATTATGCAAAAAGTTATACACTTGAGCATTTTTCTCTCTGTTCTATAAAGACGTGAATGAAGTGCGTGCTTTTGACTAAAAACAAAAAGCAGAAGCCAAAAGCAGTTATAGAGGTCAAGTGTAGTTAACATGATTTTTTTTTAAGGAAGCCCTGGGAGGTATGACGTCTGCCCTGCTCCACATCTGTTCGTGCTGATTTAATTTCCACAAGACGGTGGCCTGGTAACCCCATTTCTAGCTCAATAGGCACTGTTCGAATCAAGTTTTTCATTTTTAAAATCAATCTCACCATCCTTCAAAGGTTCCAGACTAACAAGTTCGCACATAAAATTTCCATTTACCTGAATAATAGAAACTGACTTGGCATTTATATGCATGTGATTGTGAAGTTGAAGAGAAGGAAGGATCGATCCTCTTGCTCATGCCCTAGACTCCCCTGGTACCATGCTAGGCTGGAGTCTATGCAATGCCAGGGCTGACTACAATTATTAGGCGCTGCATAGTTCAATAGCAGGGTGACTATTTTAATGAAACAATGCTCAGTATAGACTTAGGACCTAAACCCAAGTCCTCTGATAGGACAAGATGTTACTGACCATGTCACTAGCACTGACCTCTCAGCTTCCATCACAGGGGTTAAAATGAGAGTGTAATACAATTTAGCCTTCAGAGCCCATTACATGTTTTATCTTTCATCTTGGAAACATCTGGAGATAATACTGTAAGGTCATATATGGTACTTGTATCAGTGGACTAGTTCTGGGCGAGCAATATTTTGCTTTCTTCCTGACAAGGAGGTTGGTTCTAGCAGAGTCTGCTCTTTCTTCTGCCAGGGCAAAGATACCAGCAAGAATGGGAAATGGGTTTCCTACCAGATGACAATGGGGTGAAATGGCAGTAGCTGCCAGCAAATCTGTGTGGAGAAGGACTGGGGGGGTGGGGGTGCTCTTCAAGGCTGAAATGCTCGGGTTAATTGCAGTGGCTCCTGGAGTGAGGGGACTTGTGGAGCCTTTGTCATGCACACAG